GCCAGACTGGCCCCCATCTTTGCTGTCCTGTAAGCAGGCAAAGACCTTTCTCTTCATGCAAGCCTTCCCTAGGTAACTAGCTACCTGTTGCATGATTTTTAGATGGATTGTTACACATTACTGCTTTCACTGGATTTTTAGTATTACTTCTATTTTACATTTTTGTCTTTTCCATTTCTTAGAGTGGCATTTTTAACATATATATTTGTATACTTATTTTTCTTAGCTTTAATATCGTCTTTTAATGACAATATTATACTCATTGTTCTTAGCTTTAAATATTGTCTTTTAAGGTTGTTAACCACCATTGTATATTCATTGTTTTCAACTTTAAATATTGTATTTCAATATTGTAAGCTGCCCTGGGTGCTTTTCAAAGAGAAAGACAGGGTAAAATATTTTAAATAAGGTAAAAAACATGAAACCTTGATAAAAGAAGAGATGACCATGCCAGTTTAATTGCAAATCAATCCCATGGGACTTGTACAAGACCAAGTCATTTCCTTAATTATTATTAATTTACTAAACTAATCTATATTTCAGGATGGCGTTGAAGCTGTGCAAAGAGTGAAACAGCAATGTTCAGTGCCAAGAGGCTAGTAGCTACAGGATGATTATGGCTGAAGACTAGCATCTGGATCTCGCAGCATGCACCAAGTGGGCTAGTTTGTGGGCTCTGTTGACCAGAAGAGACACAGTAGCTGTAACTGAGTCTAGACAGACATCTGTGTCATCTGAAGAGAAGACTTGTTTATGGAGGGGAAGGGTCAGGCAGATATAAGAGTGGGGGGCCATGCAGGATCTCACCACCAAAAGCTAATCGTTGACACATGGAAATACATTGATTCTTTGGCCCTCATGAATGCTACCACTGGAGCTATATACTTTATAAAGACATGAGGGTGACAAGACAAGACTGAAATGTAGGATGTTTAACTGGTATATCTAGTGGCCTAAAATGAAGTGTGGATACTGTCTATGAGAGAGTTGTATGGCCACCTGAAAGCTGACATCCTCGAGGTTTGTGGATGCAAACCATATGCTATGGATTGGAGAGGAACGATGGAAGATAGTGTGACTATCCGAAACTTCCAAGGATGGATGTACTGGTTGTTGTGGGTTTTTCGGGCTCTTTGGCCATGTTCTGAAGGTTGTTCTTCCTAATGTTTCACCACTCTCTGTGGCCGGCATCTTCAGAGGATAGGAGTAGCACTCTGTGCTCTGGCAAGGGGGAAGGAGGGGGATGGATATACTGATTGATATCCCAGAGGCCCAGACCGGGGCTGAGTCCCCTTGTCCTATTTTGGGATAATGAAGTAATATGGCGATAGAGACATGTTACACATTGCATTCTTCCTGAGGAGAGCTGTGATTATGAGACAGCTTGATACAGTGTAAGCGGCCAAATGAGGAAAGGCATGCTGCATACCCTACATAGATGATGGTCAAAAACCCATCTGTTGCTAGTGATGGATTGGCCCAAAGAAAGGTGAGGGAAACCACTAATGGAGGTATGAGCAGTGCTTTGAGGGAGTGTTGATCTTCTTTGGGTGTCACTGTCTGGTAGGGTTTGGGGTGGAAGTACTCTATGCCATGAAATAGAGGGTTTGGTGTCTGACTGAGAAGTAAACAGTGGGGTTCAATTTCTGGAGAATGTATGATGAGACTTCCTCCATAACTGCCTGGTTGGGGCAAAGGCTTGATGCTGACTATGGAAGCTCATTTTCCATGCCATTATGTGAGTTTTTACTAACTGGTCCCTGAATTCACTTCTTTTTACACTGAACAGGCCCTGTCCATCAAAGGCCGTATCCTTGATCCGGACTTTTCTCCTTTCCGTATCAACTCGTGAACTGCCAATTCATCAGTTGCTTCTGGGACTGGGAACTTCAACTATTATAAAGCTGGGTTTTGAGTGATGGAAGAGGAATGAGCCCCGGCCTCCTGAATGCGGCAGAGGTTTTTGATTTTGCATGATGTGGGTGGCACAGGTGATGGCTCAGCTCAGGATTATTTAATGAGGGAGGACAGTGTGGGCAGGAATGGCAAAAGAACAGGTGTAGCAGCTGGTGGGTCAACTATAGGAGCAGGAGGCTCCCTGTAATCCCAGTTATAGGGATTTTGCTATATGTAGGATATTTTCTGTGTATGAGCACAAATTGTCAGAAGGTGACAACAGAGTGGTTCTCCTAAAATGTTGTCTGATGAAAATGCAAAGGGCAAGGGGGAGGGAGGCAAAAAAGTATTATTGCAAAAACCAGGTTCACTGTCAGATCAAGAAGCAGCATCTTCTGTAGTTGTCCTGCACTGCTGATGCTGAAAGCAGTGACAGGGCAATGCCTGGGCAAAAGAAAGCACTCTAAGCTGGGGAGCAGTCGGTATTACAGTCTATGTTGTAGTATAAGCTGGATGCACGATCAGGATGGAAACCAGTGATGCTGATGATGAGGGATGCTGGATTGAAACTTGGGATACCAAGAGAGTTGAGGCAATATGGCAGTGTGGTCACCCAACAGTAAGTAGTTCTACTGGTAGTGACAATATGGAGATCAGGATTGGTGGTGGGGCAGGTAAGAATGCTGGCAATACCAATGTGATCACAGATGCTTGTGATACCAGTGATGACTCTGTCACCAATATGAGTACAGAGAAGGTGGAAGTATTGGGGTGGATACCAATACTGAAGAGAGTCTTGATGTCACTAACAATGTCAGAACCTGGTCTCCTGTTGTGGATGACAAGGGACTGAAGCTCAAGGCCCTTGCAAAGTTCAGGGTTGCAAACCAGGGTTGCCAAACACAGAGGCCAGTTGCTTCTAATAACAAGGTTCTGAAAGAGTGAGATCCCTGATATCGTCCCCTGAGATTAAGCTGAGATAGGCTTTGTCCAACAGCAAGGTGGAAAATTGTTTTTGGTTCAAGGAGATCAAAGCCATAGATGGAGCGTGCAGAGATGAGGTTAAGGGCCATGCTAGGGTCAACAGCAAAGATGACTGTAGTCAGCAATTCAGGGAGAAGTCAGTAATGGACTCAGAGCCTGTTCCAGGGTCAATACAGGCAACGTGAGAGGCTGGAGAGAGAGGAGTCATCAGAGTTAAGTCCTAACAAAGTGTTCATATCAGCAGATTGAGATGAAGAAGCAAGAAAAGAGTAATCAAGAAAGAGGTCTGGGTTGATTCTGGCAAAGTTGGATACACTGATGATGAGGAGGTAGAACGGACAAAAGGCATGGAGACAGATTTTGTATGCTTTGTGTTTTTATCATTGGAGAGATCAACTTGAGATGCTGACTTGTGTATCTTAGAATCAATCTTTGGCTTAAAGGAAGAAACAGCCCTGCCTGATGCTGAAAGTGGGGATTTCAGTATCAAGTTGGACTTGGTGATTAGTGTTGGGTGACTAAAAATGGTCCCTGGAATACAACAAATGACTTCTTGGATAAAGGTGCCTTGCAGATTCCAGAGGAAGACAGAATGCAGGGGGTTATTTTGGGCCACCTGTTCTGCTTCTTTCAATACTTTCCCCAAAAGAAGTTCCTTAATTTAGCATGTTGGAAGTCTCAAGCTCTTCATAAACTCTCTGCAGATTGTGCAGGACTGAATAAAGTGAGATTCTCTGAGGCAAAAAAAAAAAAGGCATTGGGAATCAGTCTGTGAGAGCGATGCTTTTCCCCAGTTCATGCACTTTTTGAAAAGTGACATGGAGAACATAGGCCTGAGTGGAGCCTGCTAAATGAGGAACAGATCAGGAGATGAGAGATGGTGGATCAAAGCAAAAAGAAAAATAATGGAGGCTGGAAAAGACAAAAGGGAGACAAAATGCTGGATTAAGAGAAAAGCTCAGCTAACAGCTGCTTATTCCTATGAGGTTACTTTGGTGTCAGACAAAAAAGGAACTGAGGGGAAATGGTTTGGCTCACTGGAGTATGTGCACTAGTGTGGGCAGTGCTATTGCCAAAACTGCTAGCTCTAGAATGTTCCGAAGACTATCTGTGCACAGACACAGAAGCCCATTTGTATGATCTATGGAGACCATGAAGAAGAAAAAGTAAACAACAACAATCTGCAATATTAAGAACAGCATATATACTATGTTGATATTTAATAATTAGTTTTTTGATTAAAGCTTGTATCTGTTATATAAAACCAGTCAATGTTTTTATAATTTTGATTGAGTGTGCCAGGTATTTTTGAATAATAATCTGCAAATCATCCTCATCTTAGAACAGAAGAGGTGGAAGGGAGTCTATGGATCAGCGAGTCTAGCCTTGCCAAGGCACACTGGGAAATCCAATTCCCAACCTCTGGCTGCACAGCTAAACCACTGAGCTATTACATGTGAGTACCTTACTTCACTGTGCTCAGCATATCTCTTGGGTTCTGGCCATTTCTCACGTAATGAAGTGACAGTAACACAATTTCCAAGTCTTTACTCTTGGAAACTGCCATGGATGGAAGATATCTCTGGAAACAAGGAGATAACTGTACTGCGGCAAACAGACTTTGAGCCGTGGGCCCTGGGTTTCTGGAAAACATAACCTTGGTCGCTTATTGCCTTAATCCTTCTTGGTGCAATTCTCCCACAAGCCTGGTGATACTGCAGAGCTGTCCTTTCCCACTAAGATGGGGTGTTCATGGTTTGCATTGTTTCCTCATGCACTTCTTCCTTTAGGCTTCTTTTCTATCCTCACTATACGTTGTGTGGTAACTGATGGAAAAAGATAAAATAAGCTGAATAAAGAAGAACGGTAGCACTTTGCCAATACCTTATTACTTAGATTTAGATCTAAGCAGGATTGGAATAGGCAGGGGACTGCAAAGACAAGTATGATTTGATCCCTGCTTTTAGGAATAAGGGAGACAGTCAGCCTATTTATAGCTACCCTTCACCACTGTAGGGAGAACACTACTGTTTCCTGAGTATACTAGAAGATTATTCATTGTTTGAAACAAGCTTGTGTTCCCACTCTTACAAGTTTTTCTATGTTGGAAATAATCATACCTTCACATTTCTTTTCATCTGAGCTATCCTGGCAATTTGGTTCTCCATTGCACTGAAGGGCTCGATCAATGCACTGTCCACTCTCACACTGGAACTGGGACTCTGAACACACAGGACAATTCTTTTCATCACTAGCATCTTCACATTCTGTGAATCCATCACAGCGCCAGGCTACAGGAATGCAATCAATCTCCCCTGTGAAACATGTGAAATGTTGCGGGGAGCAGGTTGGTGGCTCTGTTATTAAAAAAAAGAAGTTTGGTAGATTTTTTTTCCTGCAGGAAAGTTAAAAGTCACATTTCTAGAAAACAAATTACTTTGTTTGAATTGCACATGGATGGACAACCAACCTCTAAAAGGTGGTGGGGAACCTTTGGCCCTCAAGATAACAATAACTCCCCATAATGCATCATCATCGGCCAGGCTGCACAAGGCCAAAGCGAAGCGGTACTCAGTATGTGGGGGTCATAGGTTTTCAGCCCTGCTCTACACAGACTGAACATTAGTGTCAGATCTACACAATGGAACTGACACAATCACCAATGTGTGCATATCAGGATCTACCTGGCATTCTGAGATGGACTTTTAAAGTTGCTCTTTAGTTCTTGTTTATTGTTTATCATGACTACTTGTCTATACAGTTTTTCTTCATATTGCTGTTCAACTGTGCACCCTGTTCTAAATAAATCTTCATAAAATGCTTTTAAAAAGACTAACATCTAAGGATTTAAAGCAATCTGTGTGATACAAACAACCACAATCCCCGTAAATAATGACACTATCTATATATTAGTGCCTGCAAAGAGCAGTCATTAGGATTGTTTCATCTCCTGAAATGCTTTTTAACTTTTCTGTCAGTATGCAGACCTGGGCAAAGTGCGGCCCTCCAGATGTTGCTGAACTGCAAATCCCAACATTCCTCACTGTGTGGGCTAGGTCCAACACACTTTTGTTTTACAAAATTGCTAGTGCAGGGCCCTAGATCTGAATTTGCACTCTAGTGTGGGAAGAACAGGGCAGCTTTAGCAAATGTAGGAAATCTGAAACTACAACAAAAATATAAATCTTACACTTCAAGGCAAAACTATGCATAACAGGAAACACGCAGCTTGGCTATGAGAAGGCACCTACATGTATTCTTACATAGGCCTCATGAAAGAGTATTTTTTAAATATATAACTGGATATATAGGAAAGAAAACAAAAACTGACCTAATGGAACAGAAAAAGGTTCATCTAGTCCAGTTCTCACAGCAACTACAGATATGCCTTTGAAAGCACAGATCAGGTCAGATTTGCAGTTTCAAAGTGCCCATGTCTTCTTGTTTAGGCATTGCAAGCTAAAGGCATTGCAGGTAGAAGCAAAAATGGCAGTAGTCTACAAGGGACTAAGATATTCAGCATTAAAATTGCAGTTCTGGAGCCCAGATCTCAAGAAGGAACACTCATTTTGGTTTTGCTTGTGCCATAAATCCTGTACTGTATCTTGGACATAAATTTCAGCTGGATATTAATGTTACTGCATTTAGTACAAAGAAGTTGTGTTCATCAAGACAACTCACATACCAATGTTCTACAATAATTCTATATGAAAACTTTAAAATGGATATAACATACAGCAGATGGATGGATCATGACTCAGCGTCTAGTTATGTGCTTTCTACAGTTGCACTCAGTCAGTCTTGTTTTAGAGATCCCCTCACCCCATTGCTACTGCTATCTCAATGCAGCTGTTCACACTTCGTTAACATGAATGTTACTACTGGCCTTGTGGAGTCTTAAGTGCAGAAATTTTCCTCTCTTATAAGAACAAAACCAAAACCAAAACCAAATGCTTTTTAAAAAGCCAAGTGGTTCCATTTTTAGCCTAGAATTTAATGCCTTGGAAAAACACGTCTGGATTATCTTGTTCCAATGTGCCACTGCCTCATTCATATCATTGCTTGCTATGCCAGCTGTTGCTAGATTTTTAGGTGATACACAGTTCACTGGCAAGGATTTTTGACTTCCAGTTGTGTAACAGTAACAAAATGCCTACATTTTACTGCTGAAATGAACAAAACTTGAGGTAACAGGAGCAGTTTTTTAAATGGAAGGACTACAGAATCAATTCAGCTCTAGTATTCAAACACAAATTATTGAAAATTCTTGAAATGTAAATTTGTACACTTCTAGAGCAATCTTGCAACTCATTAGATTCTGTAGAAGCCTCTCATTAAACAATCTTCCCTATAGACTCCTGGAGTGATTCCCAGGAAGCAGTGCAACTGAAGGGGCGTTCCCTTCTTCTTCCTCACTGATCTTTTTTCCTTCTGATTTTTCCTCTCTCAGTCCCATAATTCTGCCTAGTGGATTCTGGGTGAGTTCTAGGGCTAGAAATCCTTACAATCTCAAAGTCCCTTCTCTAGTAGGTTTCAGAGGCACAAAGGAAACACTGAACTGCCTTTAAAACATACAATAGCTTCCTACTGCAGAAAATGTATCCATTAATGAGGGCATGAAGAGAGTTTACAGGGCTTATATTAGAGGTAACCTGGTTAGACAGTGCTTGCTCAGATGTAATGGTAGATATGCTTAAAGCTGAAAAAGAAGAAAAGGCTGCATTCAGATTAGAAGCAGGAAGAAGAAGTATATGAACAGAAAGTTTACTCTTAACCATGGTCAAGAAATCTGTAACAGAATGACTGGACCAAACCATTGAATTAGACTTTGAAAATTACTATGCTCTGAAACGTTCTTATCACACCTACCAACCTTTTCCTGCAATCCAAACGCTGAAGAAGTAAGGAAATAAAGCTTATTACAAATGGATGATGGTTAATGTCTAATATGAGAAATACCGCCTATACTGCCTATATAAAGGTTTTCTCATACAGCATGTTTCAGGTTCTGAGCTATAAAACAGAAAACTCTGCCAATTTTTTAAAAGCCTTACCTCCACAGGAAAGTTCATCCTGAAGCAAAACAAGGTGCACTGGGCAAGAACAGCGTGTGGTTCCATCACCTTTCACAATACATATGTGTGAACAACCACCATTATCTTGGGAACAGGGGTGCTGCCCTATAGAGCCATAAAAGAGTAGAAAACTATGCTTAATGTGTTACAACTTTTTTAAAAAATTAAAGACAGTCTACTGGCTTACCAGTCAGGTTCTACAGGGCCTCCTCAGATACTCAGAAACCTCACATCATAATACCTCTTGAAAGCCATGGAAACAAAGGTAAAACTTAAATTTGAAAGAGGATCTAACAGAGTTCAGCATTAGAACCTATTTTCAATGCTGTGCTTTCTTTATGGAAATATGAATAACATTTTATTTATTATTTACTTATTTAAAATATGTTTACCCCACCTTTCTCCTTAAAAACAACCCAAGGTGGCTTGCTTATATCATTATAAGACAATATTTAAAAGCTAAAAACAGCAAGTATACAAATATTTAAAACAATGGTTCCCCACCTTTTAAAACTTGCATACCCCCTGGCAGCCTATTTCCATAAACTGTACCCTTCATATTAGCAAAATGTTTGTAATTAATATGGCTGCAGTTATTTTAATTTTATATGTTGCAACTGTAAATAAATAGCCTGATAATGGCATTAAAAAGCAATGGGATAACAACGTGAGCAAACAGTGCATATATATTCACTTTAAAACTCAAAAATGCTATGAATTCAAGTAAATATATCACAGAAGACCAAGAAGAACTTACTCATTGAACACAGCTCACAGGACTGACTGAGGTGCCCACATGTATACACCAGTACTGGCACAACAGCACTCAAATGTTTGTGAAGCACAGAAGAGAAAAAGCTGAGCCTGTGAGGGTGTGTCACCAAGCATGTATGCTGTAGCAGTGTATTCACAACATACTGTTTAGGGAGTGATTCCCCCACATTCACCAAAATAACAAAATGAGGGAACATGGCTTTTCACAAGGGTAAATAATGAAGAAAAACCATTCCACCTTTCATCATAACATTCAACTAATTTTAAAGCAAAGTGTGCTGCTTATACTGCCCCATAGCACTTAAAGGACTCTCTAGACAATTTAAATTTAATTATGGAGGCTACACTTTGCCCCCTGACTATAAGCTAGGCACTCATTTTACCAACTTCGGAAGGATGGAAGGCTGAGTGAACCCTGAGTTGACTACCTGGGAATGAACTCGGGTTGTGAGCAGAGTTTTGGCTGCAGTGCAGCAGTTTAACCACTGTGCCACAAGGCTTAATTTAACTTTACTGTACAACTTTTGTTTGTATCTTATCTTACACTGTTGATGTATGCGCCTTTTCCTGCCTTTATTCAATTTTTTCATGTATTTCTATATATCCTGGTTCATACATCTGGGGGTGTGCATGCCCCAGTTGGTAATCATTACTTAAAAAGAATCAACATATATGGCACTAAACAAAATTCACACACACACACACACACAGAGAGAGAGAGAGAGAGAGAGAGATTCAAGCAACAAGGTATAACACTCCATTTAAAACCCCTCTCGAATAGCCAATCACTAAGGGAAAGCCTGTCTGAAGAGAAAGGTTTTTGCCTCCTTTCAGAAGAGCAGCAAAGATGGACCCAGCTTGGCCTCCTGTGGAAGGGAGTTCCAGAGTCTGGGAACAGTAATAGAGAACGCCCTGTCCCATGTCTCTAGCAAATGTACCTGTGAAAGTAGTGGGGATTTAACAACCAACTGTGCTCAGAATAACTCTTCATTGTGTCAACCAAATCAAATGTCAAAATGTTTGGCATAAGGGAGGATAGAAGGGCTAAATTCCCCCTTCAAAACTGCTGCCTAAAATAAATGAATTTAAATCAATGGGACTTAAGTCATAATTAACAAGATTTTTTATTTCAATGGCTGACTCCAGGTAGAGCTAATATTATATTTAGCCTTAAGTCATCTAACAACATCTTGTTCATTTTGCTTTCAAAACAACAGAATGGGTAAAGGAATACCAACTTGATGTTTTTTTTTTATCTCCTGATGTCTTCCATGTATATCTTTGGAAGACTTTTGTTTCAGGAATGTTGGTTTTAGACTTACATATTTTAAAATGTTTTCAAATTGTTTTAAACTTTTTTTAAAGCTTAATATAACTTTTTAAATGTGATATTTATATGGTGTTTTAAAATCTTGTTTTATCTGCTGTGAGATGCATTGGGGATGCATATGGGGAAAAAGGTGGCATATAAATAATATAAATAAAATAAAGTAAAATAATAAATATCTGGCAGGGAGGCATTAAGAGTAATAGCTGACTGGTGGGCACATCCTAGGTACTGTATCTAGAATATTGTGCGAGAGGCTATTGCCACTAGATTAGTATTTTCCTGGCAGTCATAACTATACTTTAAAACCAAATTGCTGAGTTACAGCAATGATCCTGAACTGACCACTGGATGTGTATACCCAGCTCAGAGTGAGTCAGACCCTTCATATATCTACAGTATGTTAAGTGATGATATCAGGGTGGGAACTGAAAATATCTGCATGCTAAACAGGTGCTCTGTGAATGGGATATCCACTTTGAACTCAAGTGTTCTTCCTTGGATTCTAAGTTTTAATAGTTTATAAAAAGATCTGGTTGTGTTAAACAAGACAGCCTCACTAACAATCATTACCACCTAGCGGCAACAAAAATGTTCCTTTTTATGTAATACAGTAAGAAAACATGAAACTGAATTCACTTAATCATGCATTGCTTTCTTCACATTATAATTCTGTCCTAATTTATATTCTGCTTTACATTCATGCAACCAAAACAGTACAAGTAACCACATGGGTAGTTATTCAAATAAATAAGGCTGCTGATTCAAGGTTGTTGTATCAAGTACCTTCAAAGCATTCACTGGGCCTAAGGAAGCAAATGTTTTCTTGGATCAGGACATTTGGTTTGCACTAGGCTGTTGAACTATGGTGATATGTAATAACAAAGAAATTGCTTTATGACAAATAATGCTTAACAATAGGCTCTTCTTCCCCACAATATCACATGGCACTTACTAAACTCCTGCATGTTGAGTTCTTTAACTGCGTGGATATCACTTAGTTGGGCAATACGAGCCTGAACTTTTGTACGTCCCTCTTGACGGGTCATATCAATTTTTTCAATCATCTGTTGATGCCTATCAATCCAGTAGAGCCAGTTTTCAAATACAGTCAGACCTATAGGTTGTAGTATGTTGGAGTCTTCTAAAACTATTCGATTGGCACCTGTGAAAGAGGGAAAAAAAGGGGTGCTGAGAAACTGAAAAATACTGAGGACATTGTCCAATGACTTATTTTGTATTCATTTTGTATAATAAGATTTTTTACTGTTATTGCAAACTGCATCTAGGATTAGAGTCAGAGCTCCAATGAATCTGATGGTTTCAAGTGCTTCTTCCCACACAGCTTTAGCAGAAAGCCCAGTCCACTACAGAATTCTGTATGGATATTTTAGAACTTTAAACAAGTTATTGATTGATTGATTGATTGATTGATTGATTGATTGATTGATTGATTTGATTTGATTTATATCCCACCCATCTGGTCTGGTCGACCACTCTGGGCGGCTTACAATAAGAAAATCAGTTACATTCATCTGTATCAACATATTTTCATTCCACAAAAAAAAAAGTTCTAATTAGACAAGGGTGGCTGGTAAAGAACAAATCCTGTTATAAATTTTCTTCTTACATTTTAATTGCATTATCCAGTGTTAAATATATTTGAATCCTACCTGCTTTCTTCAAGTAGGGCATAATTGACCAACCAGTCTAATTTATTTATTTATTTGTTTATTGGATTTCTATCCCGCCCATCTAGACCAAAGGTTTACTCTGGATGGTTTACAAATTTAAAAACAAAACCAAAAAATATATATTATAGATCCAAGGTGGCGAAAGTATAAGAAATTAAGATATGGCAGGAGGGAAAGCCTGCCCAAATAGCCAGGTTTTAAGTTTATTCCTGAAAACAACCAGAGAGGGAGCCGGGCGGATCTCCACTGGGAAATTGTTCCAAAGGCGAGGGTCCACTGCTGAGACGGCCCTGTTCCTCATTCTTTCCTTCTGGACCTTGCTCGGCGTTAGGCCCCTCAGCCGCCTAGCCTGGCAGGAACGAGTGGCTCTGGCAGAACTGAGTGGGAGAAGGCTCTCTGCCAGATATCGAGGTCCTAAACCGTTTAGGCTTTATATGTAATTGTAAGAACGTTGAAATCAACGTGGAAACAAATGGGCAGCCAATGCAAGGCTGCCAGTGTGGGAGAAATATGTTGGTACCTTTTCACCCCTGTAAGAAGTCTGGCCGCCACATTCTCTACCATCTGAAGTTTCCGTGTCAGTCTCAAAGGCAGCCCCACGTAAAGTGCATTACAGTAGTCTAATCTTGAGACTACAAGTGCATGGACCAAAGTGGTGAGTGCCCCCACATCAAGACAGGGATGCAGCTGGGCAATCCGCCGAAGGTGGAAATGTGTGGAATGGACCACTGATGACACCAGGGCCTCCATGGTGAGCGTCGGATTCAGATGTACACCCAAACTGCAAACCTCACTCTTGGTGGTAAGAGTCACCCCCCCCCCAAAGGAGAGGGAGTTTCCCAGACCAATGATCACTGGGACACCCACCCGAAGGATGTCCATCTTGCCCGGATTCAGCCTCAGTCCATTCACCTGCATCCATTTTATTTATTTATTTATTTGTTTATTTGTTTATTTATTTATTTATTTATTTATTTTTGGACATATACTGCCCCATAGCGCTACAAGCACTCTCCGGGCGGTTTACAATTTAATTATACAGGCTACACTTTGCCCCCCCACAGCAAGCTGGGTACTCATTTTACCGACCTCGGAAGGATAGAAGGCTGAGTCAATCTTGAGCTGGCTACCTGGGATTTGAGCCACCAGGCTCTTTCATTTCTGAACAGCCCCCAGGCAGTGCTCAAGGGATGAAAAATTATCCACTGTTGTTGGAAAAAAGATGTAGAGCTGAGTATCATCAGCGTACTGATGACACGAAGCCCCACATCCCCCGAGATGACCCCTCCCAGCAGCCTCATATAGATGTTAAACAGCATTGGAGAGATAATTGAGACCTGTGGAACCCCACAATTGAATTTCTGAACAGCCCCCAGGCAGTGCTCAAGGGATGAAAAATTATCCACTGTTGTTGGAAAAAAGATGTAGAGCTGAGTATCATCAGCGTACTGATGACACGAAGCCCCACATCCCCCGAGATGACCCCTCCCAGCAGCCTCATATAGATGTTAAACAGCATTGGAGAGATAATTGAGACCTGTGGAACCCCACAATTGAGGCTCCATAGGGCCGAGAAATTCTCTCCAATCTGCACTTTCTGGGGACGGTCATCCAAGAAGGAAAGGAGCCAGGCAAGAGCCAAGCCACCAATTCCCAACTCAGAGAGCTTCCCCAGTAGGATATCGTGGTCAACGGTATCAAAGGCAGCTGAGATATCGAGAAGGACCAGCAGAGACAATTTGCCTCTGTTGGCCTCCCTCAGTAGGTCTATCAAACAGGGCGACCAATGCCTTTTCCATGCTGTAGCACAGCCTGAAGCCCGACTGGAATGGATCCAGGGCACTGGTTTCATCCAGAAGAGCCTGCAGCTGATCGGCTACCACCCTCTCCACTACCTTGCTGAGGAAAGAAACATTGGCAACGGGCCTATAATTATCAATATCACCCACCGCCAAGCTCGGTTTCTCCTTGAGGGCAAGGAGAACTAAGACAACAAAAGGTACCCCTAATCACCAACACCAACTGAACTTGCATGGATAGTACAAATCCAAGAGATGCTTCATATGTTCATTTAGTATTTCAGGATGAAAGCAGTTTCATTAAGGGTTAGTTTTTTTACCTTCATGATTCCCAAAGATGCTTTAACTATACCTGAGAGGTCGCTGCTTTCAATCCTTCGCAGGTCAGAATCTGCCCAGAAGAGCTTCCCCAACTGGCTGTCAATTGCCAAAGCTATAGGTTTGCTCAGTCCATTGGAAAAGAGGACTTCCCGTTCAGTCCCATCTAATGCTGCCCTTTCTATTTTAGGAGGGGATCTCTCCTGGAGATTGGTGAAATACATGTACCTGTAAAAACAAAGTCGTAATTTATTGAATTACAGAATTGTTGTGTGACAGAAAATGCCTACATCTTCTTAACTAACTACAATTCAATGCTGAAATGTACATTGATGGGATTAGGCTGTCAGGCATAACTATCAAGATTCTGATTCTGATTTTTAATTTGTAAGGTTCTCTAAATATCCATTACAGTTGTGATTCTATTCAATGAGTGTAAAGGCTGAAGGTGGGTGCAATTTCTGAGACCATCAACCATAATAGTTTGTGGTACAAAAGGGCACCAGGCAACATGGTGAGCATCCTATTCAGTACAGAAAATTACATAAGTTGCTGACATTATACAAATCGCACAATTCAATTCTTCACCACAGATTCCATGTCAGTCCATTTTAAAAAAGGAAATAAACACAGATCTGTTTATATGACCTCACAGAGAGAGAATGACTGGGAAACAACAAGTCACAAAGGAGATTTAACTGCTGAGCCTTAAACAGGCATTTCTCTTCTGACAGTCCACCTACCCCTTCTCTGGATTCACAACAATGGCTCTGGGCCTATCTTGGTCACCTTTCAACACTACTCCCATTGGCCTCCCATCCAGGTGTGTTACATTGATGACATTTGTTGCTTCACAAGTCCAGTAAACATAACGACTATAGATATCAATGCTCAAGTCATAAGGCTGTATGTCTAGGTTCTGATTGGGAACTGGACTCATCACAACTGTAAAGCTCTAGGGTGAAGAGACAGAAAAAGATTGATTCAATGAAGTAGTCAGAACAGAATTAGAAGTTAGAATACAGTTGCATAGCACATGATTGATTTCCTGAAGACAATAAAACAGTTAAGAGTTCCACACCAGAGTTCTATTTAGTGTGGAAACATCAACCTGATACACTATGTTAAGCACAGTATCTCCTGTGAAAACTGTAACAAAAAATACAGTATGTCATGGACAGAGATGGGGGTATTCATATATGAATACACATCCTCCCACAGGTGCAGATAACAAAGGTCCAGCCCCCTGGGGCCAGACCAACCACTCACGATTTCACCACTGCTGCGAGCTCTACTGAGCCTTCCTATCGCTCCGTTGCTTGTGATGGATTAGCCACTCTGCAACCTGGCAGAGAGGTTCGTCATTCCGCCTTCTGCCAGGACTGGCTAATCTACCGCGAGCAACAGAGCGATAGGAAGGTTCTGTGGAGCTCGCAGTAGCGGCAAAATTGTGAGTGGTCAGCCTGGCCCCAGGGTGCCGGACCCTCATTATCTGCATGTGTAGGGGGATATTTGTATTCGTACACAAATAAACCCATCTCTGGTCATGGATTAAGGGGAGGATTTCTACGACATTTCATATTTTCTCTGCAACCTACATTTGAACCCATGTTGTTGTTTAGTTGTTACGCCATGTCCAATTCTTTGTGACCCCATGGACCACAGCACGCCAGGCCCTCCTGTCTTCCACTGCTTCCTGGAGTTTGATCAAATTCATGCTGGTAGCTTCGATGACACTGTCCAACCATCTCATCCTGTGTCGTCCCCTTCTCCTCTCGCCTTCACATTTTCCCAACATCAGGGTCTTTCTTTTCCAGAGAGTCGAGTCTTCTCATGAGATGGCCAAAGTATTGGAGCCTCAGCTTCATGATCTGTCCTCCCAGTGAGCACCCAGGGTTGATTCCCTTCAGAATTGATAGGTTGGTTCTCCTTGCAGTCCTGGGGACTCTCAAGAGCCTCCTCCAGCACCACAATTCAAAAGCATCAACTCTTCGGTGATTAACCTTCTTTATGGTCCAGCTCTCACCTCCATACATTGCTACAGAAAAAACCATAGCTTTCACTATGCGGACTTTTGTTGGCAAGGTGATGTCTTTGCTTTTTAAGATGCTGTCTAGGTTTCTCATTGCTTTCCTCTCAAGAAGCAGGTGTCTTTTAATTTTGTGGCTGCTGTCACCATCTGCAGTGATCATGGAGCTGAAGAAAGTAAAATCTGTCACTGCCTCCATATCTTCCCCTTCTATTTGCCAGGAGATGGTGGGACCAGTGGCCATGATCTTACGTTTTTTGGATATTGAGCTTCAGACCATTTTTGATGCTCTCCTCTTTCACCCTCATTACGAGGTTCTTTAATTCCTCCTCACTTTCTGCCATCAGAGTGGTATCACCTGCATATCGGAGGTTGTTGATATTTCTTCCGGCAATCTTAATTCCGGTTTGGGCTTTATCTAGTCCAGCCTTTCACATGATGTATTCTGCATATGTTAAATAAGTCGGGGGACAATATATAGCCTTGTTGTACTCCTTTCCCAATTCTGAACCAATCAGTTGTTCCATATCCAGTTCTAACTGTTCCTTCCTGTCCTACATATAGATTTCTCAGGAGATAGATAAGGTGATCAGGCACTCCCATTTCTTTAAGAACTTGCCACAGTTTGCTGTGTTCCACACAGTCAAAGGCT